TAACCAATCTTTAGATTAAATCACCATTGGTAGTGGGATTTATGGTAATGCTTTTTTCCTCAGTTGGTCAGAACAAACGTGGCAGACGTATTACTTGTTCAGATTACAATATACGGTGAAAATTCTTACTTGGGCCATATTCCAAGACGTAGGCTAGAATCTGTGATTGCCAAGTACAGTAAATATCCACACCGGTGCGGTGACTGACTGCTACACATACTCTTCAGAACATAGATTCATCCACGCTGGAGCCGCACCCACTTACAACCCACGCAAGCTAGATAATTTCACACACAGCTGCAATTCCAGGTTTTCAAACAGAGATGGCAACAAAGTGGCAAAACTTACGGACTGCAGCTTTAAGTGAAGTTAAAACAATCTTCACATAAACCCATTATTTACATGTGCCCTTCAGCAAGTAGGAAATATACAGAACTTGAATAAAGTTATCAAACACTAAATACTAAATTAAATAGATTAATCCTTAAAGCTACAAAAGTTATTGATTTCCTCTTTTTTCTTTTGTTCTTTGATTAATAGACTATCACAGAAGCTGGGTTATTAGGTTATTTGTCTGCTATTACTTTAAGAGCTGCCACTGCTGAACGTGATGCAGATCAGACACACATGCTTGAAGTTTCATTCGCGCTTTAATATGAAATGATACAGCATGCGCCGCCGCATTTGTGTGTGCAATTGGCAGGTAAATTTGTTTTTACTGACATATGGCCTGACAACATCTCATCTGACCTTAGTTCACTGTTGTTCTACTGAAGCCCTCTCATCACATGACTAGGTATTATTATTTTTTATTGTTTTTTTGTGTGGTGTAAAATCGATTCATCGCATCCAAAATATATATTTAAGAAATATTTACATGTATAAATATGATTTATATTATATATAACTATAAATGCATATTACATATATTTCTTAAATATATACATGTATGTGTGCACATTTATATATACATATAAATGTACACAGCACACATATTATGTGAACACACTATGTTAAATTTTATTTTAGATGAGAGTAATCGTTTTGACAGCACTAATATTTATACACAGTGAACTACGGTCAGATGAGATGTTGTCAGACCATATAACATATATATAAAAAAAAATAAAAAAAATAAAAAT